CCAAGCATTCAACTCTAGTGATTTATATAGGCATCCAAGATGTCCACCATTGGTCAGATAAAAATTTTCATACCCCTACTAATTTCTTTATCAAGAGCTTGAGACATGCCTCAAATTTTTATTTTCAGCAGATAATACATGCAATACATGTGCATTTTGTCCAACAAGAAAAGTGACATTCATTGCTATAGAACATAAAAGAAACACCTTTTTTAGCATTGTCATTTAATCGTAAACAAAATTCCAATATTAAATTTATTTTATAATTTCAATTCATGAGCATTCTCACATCAATGTTTCTGTTTTTAACTTTTCCACACACAATCAGTAATGTCTTGTGTCTCAGTGGCTTTCCTACCTTTCATGGGGTCAACTCGATTTAAAAGAAAAAAAAAACACTGTGTTTATTGCAAAACATGGTCACACTTTATTACCTGTCAGGCTTTGTAATACACAATTTTTCAGTGGAACTTTTGAAATTACAGTGAATTTTCAGCTAGTATGAAATGATCTGATAGCCAAGTTGTCTCTAGAAATTTATTAATTTTTCATGAAAATTTGGTGAATAAATTATCACAAATTTTTCATTTATTTCCACTGAACATTAACTAAAATTTAAAAGAAGAAAAACTGATTAGATGAAAATCAAATATTGCATGTAAAAAATTTTTCTTAAAATGCTTTTGCAGGCTACACTCAATCCCATCATAGGCTATAGTTTGCCCTCCACTGTGCTAGAAGGTATTTTCCATCTGATCTACATTGGGATACATAAGCTAGCATCCAATGCTTGAAAAAGTGGTAATTATTAAGGGAAAGCTCTGATGAATTAGAACAATAAAACAGGATCTCACTGTCAAACTGCATCAGTTTTAATGGTGATTTATGAAGTTTCAGGTCTTTCTGTATCCTGCACAGCATATAGCTATTCAAAATTGCTAGCTCAAATATTTGCAACTTTTAATGCATCAGTTCCAAATAATTACAGTAGATCTTTGCTGTGATTCTCTGACCATATCATAAGAGGCTGTCAGGAATGATTCTATTACAGTACCACCAAATGGTTAGAGAAATCTTTTGGGAGATGAAGATGGGTTTTGGGAAAGATAGCATATTTGTTGATACAAAGAAAGCTATTATGTCAGGCCACTCTGCAAATGCTATTGGCACCATATAACCCAGTATTACTTGCTGCATGGTTGGGTCATTGGCAACTAAACCATTTCCCTCACTAGGTTTTTCTAATGGGGAGGGTGGCTAGACACCTTACAGGATTAAAAACAGGACCTGTCAAAGGGTGGATGTACCTTTTTGTAGGATCAGCATTCATCTAGCACAATGGGGCTAGACTGGGCTCCATATACAAGCAGTGCTTCCTAAACTGGAAAATGGCCAGGCCAGAAAATTTCCATAATAAAATCAATGGCATCCATGGCCAAGGTGTACCTTCAAGTTGGAGAACATTGGCTGTGGTTTGACCTGGAGAGGGATGGGCTCTGCCAGGTTTACTTGCCCAAGATATACTAACCATGAATAAATGTCTTTCTGGTTTTCAGCCCAAGTATATGGAAGGAACTGATTAACACAGGTGAACTACAACCCTACAGCTATAGTTGATCATGTGAGCAATGATAATGTTGAAAGAAAACCACATTTAAGCAATTTGAGTACTAATTCTGGTGTAAAAATTAAATAACCTGAGTAATCCCAAGTAATAAAAAATAAATTGTGTTTGTGTATAATATGTATATAGCATATTTGATGGAATATGCGATTTTTCTTTTCGTTGCATTTAATATTACACTATTTTGGGGTTAGCCTAGGTACAAATGCTCATTGTGCATAGAGTGTGGGAGAACATTAGCCTACCAGATATTTTGTCTCCACAAGATATTTTTGAGTCAGTTTTTTGAATAAAAATAAAGAAAAATAAAGAATGGGGTGTCTTATATACTATCAAATCTTATAATTGGACTCCATCTTGCATATTTATAAATCTACCATGTGAGATTCTTGATAAAATCCAAAGAAGGGTCTGTAATGTTATTGGCTCTGACCTGGCATCTCGACTTCACTTACTTTCTCACCACCTTCCCTCTGTCTTTTCTATAAATATTTTCATAGCAGTTGTTCTGATGAGTTCTCCTTGTTACCTTGATTACCCCTGGCATACCACTAGATTGGTAACTAGGTCTCACCATTTTACTGTTGAACTAGCTAGATGCAGACATATATTCTATCCTAATAGTTTCTTTTCTCGCACTTCTCGCCTGTGGAACTCTCTTCCGGTTTCTTGCTTCCTTGCCAATTACAATCCTCCAAAATTTAAATGCAACATCAATTGCCATCTTCTCTCTTTTTAAATCCTGTTCTTTTATTGTCCTTTCTCTTCACTTCAATCTTATTCTCTTTCAGTCTGAGTAACCCGCTTGTGTATTAGTAACATTATCACCTTACTTGGAGAGGGGGTGTGATTAAAAAAGAAAATCTTCAAATTGAATGAAAAATACGGCAGATGCATCATGAGTAAGCATCTGGAAATAAAACTATTTTTTTTTTTTAATTTTAAAATTTCTTATTCAGTTTATATTTATTCAATATATGGGATAAAAAATGTAAAATGCCTTTCACAGCTTTTCTTTCCAAGGAGATAAACTGATTTTTTTGTAAGAATAATAACAAAGTTATAAAAGCAAGTATTCAGTCTAGAAATTGTAAGTTTTTTTCTTCCAAATATTGGATGCCTAGAAAACCCTGCTTTACATTTCCTTTATCCTCCATTTAATCACTTCTGCTTTTTGGGGATTTGGATAGAAACCAACCCTTTGCCTAATGGCTTGATTCTTAGCTACAAAATGTCCTGTAGTGTAGCTCATAACATCTCCAATACCTGTAGTTAGATTTTCATTATTAATAAACAATTGACAAAAACTGCCAACAAACTCAAAAGTTAAGTAATTTTTCATTTTCATTTTGTTTGTGAAGTTACTTGAAAGATTATCTGAAGAATTTCTGAAAATCTCTTACATGAGATATATTAAAATAAAAAAAAAAATGCCAAAAACAGAAGTTATCTGTTTTTATGAAAATGTAAATGGGATGAAATATCTTGTCTTCCATTTTTTTGAGAGTAAGCGAAATAATTACTTGTTAAATATCAAATTTTCCTTTTTCAGTGGAAAAATGTCTGATTATGAATAAAAAAAAAATTGAGTAATACAAGGGAGGTAACTCATTCAATTCTTTGCATCTGCTTCTCGCTTACATTTTTAAAAATATTGATGAATTAACATAAAATGCTTTTCAAAAATTGGATACCATGATTAAATCTTTCTTTTGGTAAGTTAACTGCATTAGAATAGAAAAAAATAGAAGAGACATTAGCTGAATATTTTAATGAATCCAAAATGTCTTTCTATCATTAATCTTCAAGCCAACATTATTATAAAATCATTGACAGATTCTGCCATTTATCAAAATGATTTTTATTAATTTTTTTTTATTTAACTTATTTTTTAAAATTAAATTTTATCTGTTTTTAAATTATTTTTTAGTACGAAGTTCAATTTTTATTTTTTTGACTAAATTACTTCTTAACTAATTTTTATTTAACTTTAAATTAATTGTTTCCTTTGAAATTTCTTTTTAAAAATTTACTTATATTTTTACTTTCTTTAAATTAAATTTTATTTAGTTTTTCAACATCAGTTTATTTTTAAATTAAATTTTGCTTTTTTTTTTTTTTTAAATTAAATTTTACTTTTTTTCAAAATAATATCTTATTTACATTTTATTAAATTAAATTTCCTTAAACTAAATTTTGCTTATTTTTGTCAAATGATCTTTTGGGAGAAAATAACTAATATCTTCACTGTTGTTTGTAACTCTTCTTTCTATTGAGGTAGATTCTGTATGATGGTAATGTGCTTTGAATTTTCTGCCTGTACACAACAATCCAGTATTCATTAGTTTATTTCTCTTGTTATTATTGTGTGTAAATTCTTTTCACTCTGCTGAAAAGAATCTTATAAATTATATTTTTCTATTACACTGAAGAAAAATCAATAATTTCTGATTTTATTATCACAATAAAAATGAACATAATTAAAAAATCAGATAGAGAAAAATCACAACTACCATAGATGGTATGAAAAAAAAAACATGCAGAAGCAAGAGAAAAAAAAAGGAGAAAAAAATTGGATTGAGCTAACTGGTTAACTTATTTGTCACAGTTCAAATGAGGCAAATCAATAAAATTCTTCTGTATACAAATTAAGAAGAAAATCTGTCTACATGTAATTTTTTTATCAGTGTGTACAGGGACTTTATTGATTTACCTTGATCAAGCTCTGATGAATGAGGCATGAAACTAGTTAATCCATTCCAATATTTTTTCTCTTGCTTCTATGTATTTCTTTTTTATACCAACTCTAGTTGGTGCCAGATTTACTAGGCTTAGCAAACTGAAGCCTAGGGCCTCAAAATCTATAGATCCTCCAGCCAAGGAGTATAATATTTTTTTACACTGTCATAGGTATTTCTTACACATGCTGTCATAACAAATTGTAGACTCTAAACTACCCTTCAGTAATTTTCTTTATGTTCCATTTCAGAATAATTCTGTCTTAAGTCGATAACTCAATGCTAGCATTGACTTGTTTATTATTTTTTTTTAACATTCGTACATTTTTTCAATCACATACTGTATTTAACAATGACATCTTATGTCCTTTAGAACACCCATTATCATTCTCAGCTTTATTCAAATTGTTTAATTTAACACTCTTCTGTCTTCCTCTACTCATTAGAATGGGAAATTTGGAGAGGCCTCATAAGTAGAATAGCCTAGGGCCTCACTTCATCTAAATCCAGCCCTGACTATGATAGTTGTAATTGTTTTATATTCAACTTATTGTGTCCATTTTTATTGCTGTAATAATAAAATTCTGTATCACAAACAAGATCTTTTAACTTTTTATTTTTTTTTTGCTTTTGTAAAGGTAATACAGCTCCTGCTGTGGATAGTGAGGGAGAACCAGTGTCTGACCCCAATGCCAGTCAGCCCAAAGTGTCACCCAAAGACACAACAATGACATCTTCCATGATAGATGGCTCCCCTAAACTAAAGGCAATCTACAACTATGCTGCTGGCTTCTTTCATAGTTCTGGTTCAGCAGAAAAGACAACGACTGGGACGCCTGAATGGCCCTCTCCATCTGCCGTTATTGCATCAGAACAGACTGGTGAGAGGGCTCCCACAAGCCCAACCAGTCCCCGAGCTCCAGGAGTTGAATATACAACCAAGAGGGGAACCAGGGTTAGAGTGGTGTCAGCTGTGACTATGGAGGATAAACCAAATCTTTTCAATCCTGTAGCCA